TAATGTACAATTATTAGTATTTTTACAAACATATTAGCAATAAAAGGAGGGCCAAGGGGAGCCTCCATCCTTTACTGAGTACTACAGGAAACTTAGTAACCAAGGATGAAGAAAAGGCTGAGCTACTTAATGCTGCCTTTGCCGCAGTCTCTGATAGTCACACCAGCCATCCTCAGGGTACTCAGCTCCCTGAGTTGGATGACAGAGATGGGGAGCTGACTGAAGTAACCATAATTCAGGAACAAATAGTTAGCAAACTCCTGCTCCACTTAGACATACACAGGTTTATGGAGCTGGATGGGTTCCACCCAGAAGTGCTGCAGGAGCTGGCAGAGAAGAGCTTGCCAAGCCATTCTCCATCATCTATCAGTAGTCCTGGTCTAGTGGGCAACCAGACAAGCGACCTGTCTCACTAAACCTCCTTTCAGGTAACTGTAGAGAGCGATAAGGTCCCGCTTGAGAAGGATGGAGCAAGGAGGTGTCTGTTCCCTTCTTCCATGTAGCAAGTACATGTGCAGGGGAAATGGCCTGAAGTTGTGACAGGTGAGGTTTAGACTGGATAGTAGGAAAAATTTCTTCACTGAAAGGGTGGTCAGGCATTTGAACAGGCTGCTCAGGGCAGTGGTGGAGTCACCATTCCTGGAAGTATTATAAGAAACATGTAAATGAGGCCCTCAGTGATGTGGTTTAGTGGTGGAATTGGCAGTGCTGGGGTAACAGCTGGGTAATTGGTAGTCCTGGGGTAACTGATGGTCTTAAAGATCTTTTCCAACCTAGTTGATTCAATAATTCTATGATTCTATCAATAAGAACATTGTGTACTTACACTGAGTTTAACATTTGGAACTCAGAAGCCTTTCATAAATGCAGTGAAGATTCTCAAAACTATAGTAAGGTGGTTGAATTATAGAACTAGGAAATCCTGTGGGTCAAGCAGAAAAAAAAATTATGCTTCTCTCTTTATATTTAAAGTGACCCTTGAACTGAGTTTTCCATGGGATTTTAATCAGATGGGCCTAGTGAGGGAGAACCTTGATCCAAGGGACAGTTTGCTCTTCTCTAAACTGCTTTTGGTGTTGTGCAAGATGGCCTTTTATTCAGTGTCAAAGCGAAGGTGAATAAATTATTTAGAAGGACTTCAAATCAATGTATTTATTAAAGATTATATCCAGCTGAAAATGTACATCAAATGACACATTGGACATTCTGACCAAAGTGAAAAGTGTTCTATGGCCCTTCCAAAAACTTTGAAGGTACAGAGATATCAGAGTTATATCAACCTCCCTCTGACCCCTTTGTTGCTAGTAGTCCTTGTAGGATTACTATATGAAATACAGATGATCTATATGCAGGTTCTTTTTTTTTTCTCTCAATTCAAAAGAAGACTTCAAAATTTCAGTTTTCACAGGGCAAAGTGGTTACAGGGTTTGATCTACTACCAAGATATTTTGTGAGCCTTGAGATGAGTCTCAGAGTAATTATTATAGGAATCTGAAGCTGCATGTACTCTTTAATAATCATAGGAAATGGGTTATTCCATAGTAATTTATTTATTTAATATATTAAGTTATTTCATTTTGCTCCTTTCCAAGTACATATTTATATGACTTACTGATGCATTGTCTGAGTGGTTTCCTGTAGTACAATAAACAAAATGTTCACCATCTGTCATACGTGGCTCATCCTTAGCATAGGAGGAGTGATATATGATCAGCTGTTTTGTTTTGTCAGTGTTCTGTTTTGTTTGATTTTTTAAATACATTCTGCTGCATATTTATCTTAGAAAAAATAGTTTAAAGAAAAATCATCTTGGTCTTGAATGAAACATGAGATTTCAGTTTTAGATCCTTAAAAAAGTTATTTCTATAGTTGGTTTTAAACAAGCTTTGGATAAAGCCTTGTTGTTGCTAGAAATGATCTTAATGGTGGTTTAAAAATCCTAATTGCATTTGAAAAGTAAAGTTACCAACCATAGTCTTTATTCAGGCACTTCAGGTAATGCTTCAGATATTATACCCAACGTGTTTAATTTATTATATTTAATTTAGATATTATTCCAATGTGTAAATGTGGGTCGTTAACCACTTTGAGTATAATATCAGAGATTGTGAGTATCTCTGACAAGGTGATGTCATGTGCTAGGAACCACATCTAACTTAATCCTTGAACAAGATGCATACCTATCAGAGCATGATGTTTGATGACTTCATGCCAGAGTTTACTGCATCATAAGCACGAAGTGGGAACATGAGTTTCAGCTATAAAAACCCATCCCTGATTTTCTCAATGAACACTGTGCATGGTCCATCAGAAATTGCACAGGTTTAACAGGTAGTCTGATCTTTTAAATTTAGTGTAGAAGATGGACTGCGAAGCCTTTGAAAGGCAGCTGTTACAGATGACTGTACACTTAGTGGGTCATCATGTAAGTCTTGAATAGACAAGTCCCTTATGTTTTAGCTGTACATAGTTATTCTTGAACATCTGGTTAGGTGAGTGTTAAAAAATGAGGTGCATGCATTCATCAGTAGGAAGCTAAATAAGCATAATGCTTCTGCATCCATGCTGTCTCTGTGAGGCTTTGACATCAGCCATATGTATTTACCAGGTTTCTCAGAAATAGCTCAATACTGAGAGAGCCAAACATCAAACCTATCTGCCTAAAAGACACGGGGAAAGCTTGGGATTTCTTCAGGCTCAAAAAGGAGAAACAGAGGTTCCTCGGAGGCAAAGAGAGACATTCCTCATTAAAAAGCTAATTCAGAAATGAGAATCTATTCTGGAGTCAGTGAGAAGACGCCAAGAAGCAAATAGCGGGAGAATCACCAAAAGCTGTATTTGTTACATCTTGACAAAAAAAAAAAAATCAAAGTAAATAGGAAAATAATACAAACCCAAGATAAATGACAGGAGAATGTGAAAGGATGAAGGGGATCAGCCATTCACAGAGGCTGTGTCTGACACAATATGCTGTTGAATTGTGTCTCTGAAGTTAAACTTATGTCTTGTTTATGTTTTAAAGGCGATTGTGTTGAAAATGAGCAATAGCAAGGTGTTTGTAGGAGGTAATGGAGTAGAAGTGAAAGTTGTCATAGTCTTAAATCTTAAAAAATAAAATATCCTTAAATCAGAAGAATTGGACAATGTACACCCTAGAATTCAGAATTAGATGGAAGATAGAATTGCAGGTCTGGTGCAAAGGGGGGTTTAGTAAATATCTTGAAAAAGATAAAAAACATGATGTCTGTGCTTAAGAAAAAAGACAAAGGAGAAGGTTCTGTATGCTTGTAGAATAACAGTAGATAAAGGAAAACATAATATTTTGAACAGAAGTTCTGTAAGTGAATTGACTGAAGCTACACTGTTTGACAATCTGGAAAACCTAGTTGGCTCAAATTCTTTTTCTGTTTTGTAAACCAAAGTATCTTAGCTGTTTTACATATCAAAGAAGCAAGGTGCCTTTTCTGTTTTACTTTGTTTTTTCTTCTTTACATAAACCTCCCTCCAGGACCACTGGGAGATCAAGACCATGTCATGTAGTTCCGGCAATGAGATTTCCTTATTCTATCACTAAGGTTTTAATTTTCACAAATTAATAGAATCTTGCAATGTTTTAAGTGGTTTTAATTCACCATCATTTAATCGTAGAATCATAGAATAGTTAGGGTTGGCAAGGACCTTAAGATCATCAAGTTCCACCCCCCCTGCCATGGCCAGGGCCACCTCACATTAAACCATGTCACCCAAGACTCCATTCAACTTGGCCTTGAACACTGCCAGGGATTGAGCATTCACAGGTTCCCCGGGTAACTAATTCCAGTGCCTCACCACCCTTACAATAAAGAACTTCCTCCTTATATCCAATATAAACTTCCCATGTTTAAGTTTGAACGTGTTACCCCTTGTCCTAAGACTACAGTCCCTAGTTTAATATCCACCCTCATCTGGATACTCTTTCTATCTAAAATGTAAAGTATTATTTCAGGTTTTATCAGTCAGTACTACAGATGATAGTTTAATTTTAAAGATTTTTCCCCCCTCGACCAGCTCATGAAGTTAATATTTCTCACAAAAGAACTAATTTCTCAAAACCCCACTCACATTCATTTAACTGGTCGTAATAAAATTATCTGCTATATGTAGCCACTGTGAATATTGTTTGCTGTAACTTCAGAATGATGCTTCCAGAACATGCTGTCTGTGTCCACTGTACACTTACATGATGGTCAGAAATCTCCATAAGTGCGTGAGTTTAAGATAGCATAACCATGGACTCAGTGAAACATGGAACCAAATAATCACCTGGGTTTTGCAAGGCATGTTGCTTAGTTTTCAGTGAATGGGATGACTAAATCAGGCCGAGACCATCGACATGTAACCCCACTGTTTTTTGGTTTTATGATAAGTGGTAAATACATTCTGGGCTCTATTGCACATGGCAGATGTTTTCATGCCAACAGTCAGTGTCACTAGTATTACTATGTAGCAATAATCAAATTAGCAGAATATCATGTTTTGCTTGTATGTGGCCTTTCCCTGTCTTGCTTATTTTACAATTTTTTGCTTCATTGATCACTGTGCTACAGGACTCCCATATATATGGAAGATGACTATGTGTAAATACAAATGGCTAATTTAAATGCCAGTTCAGGGAGCTCCGTAGCATGGTATGCATCTATTGTTTTACAGAAAAAAACATTTCACGTTGCAAATGTGCTTTTTGAATTCCTTTTTCATCTGTAGTTGTTTAGATGTTCCAGACCTCCTATGGAGTCAAGTGTAAGGGGAAATGTATTGCTGGAAAGATAGAATCATAGAATCACAGAATACGTAGGTTTGCAAAGGACCTTAAGATCATATAGATCCAACTCCCTACCATGGGCAGGGACACCTCAGACTAAATCACATCACCCAAGACTCCGTCCAGCCTGGCCTTGGGCTGCCCAGCCTTGGTCAGCCCATTCCAGTACCTCACCACCCTTACTGTAAAGAACTTCTTCCTTATATCCAATCTAAACTTCCCTTTTTACATTTGAAGCCAAAATGGGATAAGTTTTCAATTAGCAATAATCGAGTCTCAGATTAACCTTATTGGCTATGATACTACCACTGAGCAAAGCTGTGATGTGACAAAGATGTGAAAAAACACTCTCCTAAGAAGTACCAACATATCCTCTGACTCAGAGGATGTGTTTTCCCTTCATTGTCACTTTTTGCCATATGTGGACAACATTTGCTAACTGAAGAAGACAGTTAAAAAACTCCACCCTGTGACACTCCCTTCCCTGATCCTCATAAAGCAGGCACTAACAGCACTCCTAACTGCCACATTTCTAAATAACTGAACTTTGATGAGTAGGTTTAGCTTTCTGGATAATGATACGGGTTAGCTCTTCTGAAATCTTGAGGAAGATTCTAACTACTCTTCTGTTTGAAAAAAAAATATAAAATTTGAAAAGCACAGAAAAATGTGAGAAAAGAGATTTTCCTTCTCTTAGGAATATAATCAGTATACACAGTGCAAAATAAATTCCAACTACTCCATTAATGATAACAGTAGAAAAGCTTAAATAATTAAATGATTATTGTATACAGAGATTTCAATGGGATTTGTAATTCACAAAAGTTTTTCAATTATTTAGATTCCTAAAGTGGAAAAAGAAAAAATTGAAAAGGAAATTGAAAATCCCATTAACCGTGTCTACTAGCTGTGCACCTACACAGACACATGTCTGATTCCCTTTGCAACTGCAGGTGGTTTAAGACAAAGGGTATCTTTAGGGAGTGACAGCCAGAAAAACACAACTGGTTTGGGAAGAAGGAATATCTATTCACATAGTATAGGCCAGAGAATAAGTGAAAAGCTCAGAGATCATTTTAAAAGCATATTTAAAAGCATAACAAATGTTCCCTTGGATATTGATAGTTCATTTGGGACCATGTCCTACCAATATGCTTATTTGATAGTTTGCTGCCTGTCACAATGAGCAAGTATCATTGATATATTTCTGTTTGAGGTGGATTTTTTTACATTCACTGAGGTTTCAGCTAGCTTCTTTTAAATTGTTCATTTCCTTTCACGATATTGTTAATTACAAAATTGTACATCAAAATGTGAAAATAATTCTATTTATATTATTTTGATAAATTGGATTTTCCACAAACAGCTTTTACCAAAAAACATTTCTCTTGAACCTTACTTGGAAACAAAGTCATATTTTCTGATTGGTTATAGCTATGTCTAAGCTATGTAATTTCAAACACTGTAAATATTATGAACTTGACAGAAAGCTCATCAAAGTAAATGAAAGGAATTCCACTGACTTTCATCATACCCTGTTTCTTGTAGTAAACAGCTTCATAGTCAAGCTCAAATATGTTACAACAATTAGTTAATTATACCATGGTCATGTTTGCTGTTTCCATGTGTGCTTGAGCTATGAAACTTGTTATGATTAGCTGGATTTTTTTGCACCATCCCAGGTTTAGATTGAAATCTATAATCTCCTTTCAAAGTGCTTCAATATATGTAGGCTTTTCTAATCAACACTCTTTTGCTCATCTGCTGCTGCAGTAGCAGGGAACATTTCCTCTGTGTACAGTGGACATCAGATGAGATCTCACACATTTTGGTATGCTGATAGATGTATATATTTTAATAAGTATAGTGCCCGTCTCTTTCATGGACACCCCCTTGTCGTGGGGAAAGAGCTTGCGTGCCCTTGTGAAGTTGGGAGTTATGCTGGTGGTGGCTTATGCTTCCGGTAGGGTCTCCCATGCCAGTCAGGTCTCAAATGAAGGGTCAGACAAAGTGTGTCCATGGGCAGGATGGGCTCACTAGCCTTCGGGCAACCATCCTAGGAGAAGGACAACTCCAACTTCAAACCCGGGCAGATGGAGCTCGTGTAGCCCTGTAAGGCCATCCATCTAAGAGAAGGATACTCTAATTAAACCTACGACCTGAGGACTTTGCTGTCACCGTCCAAGCTCGCTAGGCCCTGGCAGATAAACCTCAGGTGTAAAGGGTGAGGCCAGTTCTGCGCACGCTGTGCCTCACCTAAAATAAATCCACTGCGCAGGCCCGAAGGGTTTACCCACACTTGCAAAGCCCTGCAGCGACAGGCGAGGGACGAAACGGCAGGTGATAAGGTGCACTGGAAGTCGCAGACCCAACCCTGCATGCAGGCGGTTCAGGACACTGGTCGCTCAAGTCTGACCCAGGAGATGACAGTCTTGTTCGGCAGCATCCTGAATGACCAAGCAGCCTTTTTCAAGGACAGCACTGCTTGCTCCATATGGACAGAGGCCTAGAAAAGGTGGCCTAACCAAAGCTCATCTCCCCCTCCACCTGGTTGGCTAGCCGCGGCCAACGGGCATCTTCTATTGCGGTCAATTAAAAACAAAGAGACAAAGGCATACACCTGCTTCCAAAGGTGTGTCCAGATTGACACTCGCATGTTGGAACATCAGAACCATGCTTGATACAGTGAACAGTGGGCGTCCTGAGAGCCGTTCTGCGCTAATTGCCCATGAATTGTCACGTCTTAACATCGATATCGCTGCACTCAGTGAAGTTCGCCTTCATGAGGAAGGTAGCCTCAAAGAACATGGTGCTGGCTATACACTCTACTGGTCAGGCAAACCCAAAACTGAAAGTCATCTTTCTGGAGTCGGCTTCATGATTAAAAACTCCATAGCCTCCAAACTTGAAAATTTGCCGATAGGTCATTCCGACCGTATTATCTCCTTACGTCTTCCACTACTCAATAAGCAACACGTTGTTCTTTTCAGCATATATGCTCCAACTCTGCAAGCTGACACTGCAGAAAAAGAAAAATTCTACTCCGACCTGCGTCACCTCACTCAGAAAGTTCCTATAGAAGATAAGATCATAATCCTTGGTGACTTCAACGCCCGAGTAGGAAAGAACTTTGAAGCCTGGAAAGGAGTACTAGGCAAGCACGGTGTTGGCAACTGCAATGATAACGGTCGTCTCTTACTAGAGTTCTGTGCAGAGCAACAGCTTACCATCACCAACACTATCTTCCAGCAGAAAGACAGCTGGAAGGCATCCTGGATGCATCCTCGATCTAAACATTGGCACCTTATTGATTATGTTTTAGTGCACCAGAGAAATATTCGTGATGTCTGCCAGACCAGAGTGATGCCTAGTGCAGAATGACAAACAGACCACCGCCTTGTGCGTTGCAAACTTAATTTCCACTTCAAGCCCAAACCTAAGAGGGGCGAAATTCCAAGGAGGAGGCTCAATGTTGATAATCTTCAAATAGCTGCAGTGAGGGACAGCTTTCACGCTAACCTTCAAACTAGGCTTGAAGACCAACTTATAGATTCTTCTCCTGAAGCGCTTTGGCAACGTATCAAAAACAGCATCCTGCAGTCCTCCGTAGAATCCATTGGGTTCTCCTCAAAGAAAAACAAAGACTGGTTTGACGATAGCAACCAGGAGGTCCAGGAATTGCTGACAAAAAAGAGATCTGCTCATCAAGCACACCTCGCTCAGCCACTCTGCCATGTAAGAAAAGCAGCCTTTCGTCTTGCATGCAGCAAACTCCAACAGAAACTTAGAGACATCCAGAACAAGTGGTGGCTCAACCTAGCAGAAAAGACTCAACTATGTGCAGATTTGTGTGACCACAGAGGATTCTATGAGGCTCTGAAGGCAGTGTATGGACCCACATTTCAGGTTCAAAGCCCCTTACTTGGTGCAGATGGCCAAACGCTTCTTACAGATAAAATCTCCATCCTGAATCGTTGGTCTGAACATTTTCAAACCCTCTTTAGTGCTAATCGTGTAGTCCAAGGCGAAGGAATCCAGCACATTCTGCAACATCCAGTGAAAAACGAATTGGATTTAGCCCCTACCATGGGAGAGACTCTTAAGGCCATACAGCAGGTGAAAACTGGCAAGGCAGCTGGGGTTGACGGAGTCCCACCTGAAATATGGAATCACGGAGGCCAAGCACTTCATGCTAAATTTCACGAGCTAGTTGTGTGCTGTTGGGAACAAGGCAAAATACCGTCAGACTTTCGTGACGCAATCATCGTCACTCTGTATAAGAAAAAAGGTGTCAAGTCAGACTGCTCAAACTACCGTGGTATAACTCTGCTCTCCATTGCTGGTAAAATTCTTGCAAGAATACTATTGAACAGACTAGTACCTGCTATCACAGAAGAACTTCTACCTGAAAGTCAGTGTGGTTTCAGGGCTAATAGAAGTACCACAGACATGGTATTTGTTCTCAGACAATTGCAAGAAAAGTGTAGAGAACAGAATAAGGGGTTATATGTAACTTTCGTTGACCTCACCAAAGCTTTTGACACTGTGAGCAGGAAAGGCTTGTGGCTGATCTTAGAACGATTAGGTTGTCCCTCCAAGTTACTGAAAATGATTATTCTGTTACATGAGGATCAGCAAGGCCAAGTCAGGTATGGTGATGCACTCTCTGAGCCTTTCCCAATAACCAATGGTGTGAAACAAGGTTGCGTTCTCGCACCGACCTTATTCCCAATCTTCTTCAGCATGATGCTCCAAAGGGCTACAGCAGACCTCGACGAACAAGACGGCATTTATATTCGATATCGTACCGATGGTAGCCTATTTAATCTAAGGCAACTGAAGGCCCACACTAAGACCCTAAACCATCTTGTCCGTGAACTGCTCTTTGCTGATGATGCCGCCCTTGTTGCCCACACAGAAGCAGCTCTGCAGCGTTTAACATCTTGCTTTGCGGAGGCGGCTGAGGTTTTTGGGCTGGAAGTCAGCTTGAAGAGGACAGTAGTCCTCTACCAACCTGCACCCCAAGAAGATTATCGCCATCCCCATATTACCATCGGTGAGTCAGAGCTTAAGACAGTTCAGCAGTTCAGCTATCTGGGAAGCATCATTTCCTCGGATGCCACGATCGACAAAGAGATAGACAACAGAATAGCAAAGGCATATAGAGCCTTTGGAAAACTCCATAAAAGAGTCTGGTGTAATAAACACCTGAAGAAAAGTACAAAGATCAGTGTCTACAGAGCCATTGTATTGTCTACTCTTTTATATGGGTCTGAATCATGGGTCATCTATCGTCATCACCTGCGACTCCTGGAACGCT